GAGGACATCAAGCAATTAAATGCAAAACTGGGCGTGGTGGCCCATACCTGCAATCCCAGCACTGGGGTGGGGGAATGGGGTGGGGCGGTGCAGAGGCAGGAGGATAGTTAGCTCCAGGTAGATTTGAGCTACATAACATAGCAAGAGCCTGTCTTAACCCACCTTCCCTAAAAATATTAAATGCAAAATAGTACAGAATCTGCTAGACTTGGGGAGAGACTCCATGCTTAAAAGAAACATTTCTTCTGACTTAAAGCAAACAAACCAGTATTAAAAGACGCACAATTCCATTTCAGTAATCTTCTGATCTTTCCTAAGCCCGGGTGACTCTTATTTCTTAAGTCATATTTAGTACAACACAGTCATGATACTGCAAAAGAAGTGGCCTAGACCTGAGTGCTGGTGTCAAGGGAACATGCCCTTGCATTGGATTGCTGCTCAGAGGTGGATCTGGTCATCTAGATTTCTGGTTTTCCTAATTCTAGGTAAGATTTTACATTTGTCATTTGCCATAGGAGACATTAAAAACCTTACTAATGGATTGGAGAGATCGTTCAGTGGTTTAGGGCACATATTGCTTTTGCAGAAGACCTGAGTTCAGTTCCTAGCACCCACACCGGGCAGCTCACAACCACCTGTAACTCTACTCCAGGGAATCTCACGCCCTCTTCTGGCCTCCATGGGCACTGCACTCATGTGCACATACACAAATAAAAAAGTAAATCTTAAAAAAAGGCTAACCAAACCCAAAAATCAGCTGAAAGATCCCCCAATTGTCTTCTATTTAGAAGCAATCCTAAATAGCATAGAATCCTTTAGTTTAGAATTAAGTTCATATTTTAATATTAGGCTATCAGAAATATTTGAAAAGGTGGTACAGCAACTGTCTTTATTTTTGGCAGTTAAAAAGAAAAACAAAGCATGACAGGATCAATGTTGTAAGCTAATGTTTAATAACAAAGCTATGGATAAGCATAAGGACACCTAAAATAACCAAGAGCTCTGAGGAGGGTTCCAGCTCTGTCCTGATCAGCAGACAGGCCCAAGTGCCTTTAATGATGGCTCTTAAATCCTTAGTACCACTTATAAATGTCAGAATGTACTTGAAGCACACAGCTACTGGTCAAGGCAGAAGAGTCTCAGCAGCACCTGCCTGAGGAGCTTCTCAAAATGCCCTCCAGCTGCACATACCACACCTGGGAAACTGTTGGACACACAGCCCATGCTTGTCAGGTCTCTCGATGGTTCTGCTTTAAGCACACTACTTACTGTAGAAGATGCTAGAGAGGTTTTCAGTGTGAGACTGAGCACCAGACATCTAGTTCAGTGCATTCAAGCTGTGCTCATGTCAGCTGACTCAAAACCTGCCCCCTTTAGGAGGCAGTGCCCCAATGAGGGCCTTATTCAAAATACACATTACCAAGGTCCTTGGAGATAGGTCTAGTGGAAAAACACAATTATTTGTCATTGTAACTATAATAACAGGGGCACAGAACATCATTTACTCTTATGAGAAAAGTCTCCCTCCCAAAGGACATTACTTATGGAAAGATCACCTTATCCTAAGAAAACCAAATTTTGGAAAAGGAAATAGGGCCAGCAGCCTTACAAATATCCACCCACCCTCTCTAGCACTGACTCCTGGAGAGTACACCCTGAGACTGGGAGTATGGGGGGCTTGTGTCCTCCGCAGACCTCTGTTGTCTGCTTGAAAGATGACATTTCCATGTGATGGAGAACCACCTACTGATTGCTCAGCATGAATCCAAAAAGATCACCCATTCCACCAGCCTATGACAGCCTTCTTTGTGGTCTACAACCCATCCTCACCTATGATGGGATGTGCCATATAAATAAGGTTTACTTCTGTATTATAAAACACAGCACTGCATCACAAACCAACTTCATGTTCTGTGTAGTGTTTATTTATTTGCTTTGTAGTGCTCAGGGTGGAATCCAGGGCCTTGTGCGTTCCAGGCAAGTGGCTCTACCACCAAGCCATGCCTCCAGCTTAATTATTTTTATGGTTTATAAAACTGTTTAACATCTCATTGAATTCTCAGAGGAATCTGTATGGTGGGGCCTGTTTTATTATTCCCACTTTACAGAACAGAAAACCAAAACTTAGTACCCACCTCAATGAACAGCTGGTTGTTGAGTATTAAAGGCACAAATGGGTTGGCACCAAAAGTTAAAGAATTTGTAATGTCCACAAGAATGCCTAAGCTGGCACTTGCCAGCTGACACTGACTAGCAATCATCCAGGGAGGTTTTCAGGATGAATGGTATTTTTCTGGCAGGGACAGAGTGAGGAGCAGGTAGGTGAGCTTAGGTGATCTGTGGGTCACAGAACTCACATAACCTGCCCTGACGGCTGGAATTCTCTGGGGCTCAGAGTACCAATAACACGATGATGGGTGGTGCTAAGGTTAATTAAGCTCTTGCTCCATACCAGGCACCGACCTGCAGGTATTAGGTCTGTTCAATAACCTTCTTAACATCCCTATTTCACAGAAGAGATAAACAAGGCACAGAAAAACTAACCAGCGTGGCTACAACTTCACATTTTATTCCTTGGGCATAGCAGAGGGCACACCAGGGAGGTGCTAAGCCATGGTGAGGTCGGCCTGCTTGCAAGGGGAAACTGGCATGGGATGGCACCACCGCAGGAACCTGGATCATGTTTCTAATGTCATTTGGGCCACACGCCACAGACTCTGTCCCTCAGAGCATAAATCAATCAGTGCTTGGGCTGCAAACCTAAGCCACCACTGACAGTCCCAACAGCTAGGCCCTTCTCAGACTAGCCTAAGCTTTTCTAGATCTTGAACACTGGTTGATTTGCCTGGAGCTGCCTCTCTAAGAAAAAAATGAGAGTGGAAAATAGCTTTGGAGGAAATATGGCAAAATTAAAGACATGTGGAAGGCAGCAGTTTGGGTGAAGGCACAGAGCTAAAGGCTGAGTTTTCTTCTAAAGAATATGGGCAGAATGTAATCCTTGCTTCCCTGCCTGCTCCCCCCACCACACACACTTTTCTCAACTGCTCACATTTTGGAACAGTGCAAACCATCTTTTACAGCTTGGTCAATCTTTTTATGTACCTTTTTTTTTCTCAAGGAAGGAAGCAGGGACTAACGAAGAGAACGGGACACTGTGGGGGGTGGGGGAGGTCCACACTGAGCCTGTGAGGATGGAGGCTGGGGAGACAGCTGCCTACTGTCCAATGTGCTTTACCTTCGAGTTCTCTGCCTCTCATTTTCACTGAGCACCCTGAGATCCTAGAGTTCAATGGCAGTTCAGCCTAAGAACCAGTTCTAGGGTATTTTGCACCAACTCTCCTCAGAGCAAAGTCCCAAACCTGAGAGATGGGGCTACTGCAATGACCACGATGTAGGCTTTCATGTCCGCCCTTCTTCCAAGCCATGTAACAAGGCTGGTCAAACAATCACTATGGTTTTATATGCTCTTTCCTTCCTTCCTCCACAAAATGGGAACAAGATTCCTTCTTCCTCAGGAGGGTGTGTAAACCAAATGAGTGAAAGAATTAGAGCGGGGTGACACCAGGCAGCAAGCATTCACTCCTAGCTAGCTATTATTGCTATTATTACTTAACAATAACAACAACAACAAAACACGGAAAGGACCAGGAGGTTTCCCATGGTGTCCATGTTTCTTTGCTTTTAAAACAATATTTTAAATGAAAGCCAATGTTAACTACCCCAAAGGGTGTTCTTTGAAAGAGGAATGGAAAAGCTGCTAATGCTGCCACTGCAGGTAAGGGTGTGGCTAGGAGGGCTCAGCCAGCCCTCCTGCTGCAGAACTGTAGGGTGCTTGTGAGCCCCCACCGTGGCACACAGAGCACAGGGAGCTGAGACAGGCTGCAGCTCTGGGTATATTTCTGGCAGAGGTTCCGAAGTTTCCTTTCGGGCGCCACTGACCTTGGAGCAAGCGCCTTGCTTTCCAGGGTTTTATTTTACTTTATTTTTGTGACAGATTCTCATGTAGCCCACGTTGGCTTCAAATTCAAAATGTAGCAATGACTTTAGGATCCTCCTGCTTCTACCTTCGGAGCGCTGGGGCTACACGCTTGGCTCTATGTGGTGTAGGAACTGGACCCAGGGCTTGGTGCATGCTAAGCAAGCGCTCTAGCGACTGAGCTACAGCTGGAGCGCCTTTACCACAAGGCCACAACAGTGACCTCAACACCTGGGCAGTTCAATCAACCCTGTCTGACACTACAGAAGGTGCACCAGGAGGCCCTGCCGGCTGCTGCACCACGCTGCCCCCGGAACCACACAAGCCGCAGACAGCTGTCTGCGGACACTCTCGCGCGCACACCTGAGCTTGGCGGCGGGACAGCGCGTCTGTCACCCAGGCCCGCACGGCCGTGGGGTTTAGCGTCCCCTCCCCCACCCGCGTTCGTGTCCAAGAAGCAGCTCCGAGGAAACTACCCACTCTCGGGTTTCGCTCCTGCCTTCGCTGACACGGACACCCTGGCTCCCAGGGAAGTTCATTACCAGAACAATTAATCCGCACAAAAGATCCCAAACCCACCCGAAGCACTCCAGAGCGCTTGAAGCTGAAGATGGAGGGCGCCGGCGCGCAGTGTGCTCTCCGTCCCGGCGCCGGGTGGACCCCGGGCGCGAAGGAGGTGCGGGTCAGAGCCAGCCAGAGGGTCGCACCTGGCCACCCGCGCCCAGGAGGCTCCAGGGAAGCCGGCTCAGCTACAGGCTGGGCAGAGAGGGCGTGGGCACCGTGAGCCGACACGGCGCGGATTAAAGTTCAAGCCGGGTGGCAGGCACGGCCCGGCGGCCGCCTCCCAGGGACAGCCCAGGCTCCCCCCGTCCTCCGCTTTGCAGTTCTTGGTGACTCCCGGTGGCTTGCTCACTCCAACCCACCCCAAACACCAGCCCTTCTCCCCTCTCCGTGGCAGACCCCAGAAACACTCCCAGGAGGAGGACAGGAGCGGAGCGGACACAGCTGGGTGTCTCCTACGTACCCAGCGCGAGCAGGGTGAGCTGTCCGGCCGCGGGGACCATCTTCCAAGCGCCGAGCGCTGCAGCCACCGCGCTCCCTGCGCTGGCAAGTGGCCGCGCGGCGCCGCGGTGCGTGCGGAAAAAGGCGCAGGCTGCAGGGCCGCCCCCGGCGCGGGGAGGGACGACCGCGCCTCCCGGTGGCACTCGGCGGCGGGCCCGCGGCGGAAACGGGGAGGTTCCCGCCACCTCTCCGCCCCTCGGTCACCCGGGTATCCCCCAAAGGCTCAGGGGTGGGGACCGGGAACCGGGGGCGTCTGCCCTGCGTCTGGACTGCGATGGCGGGTCACCGCCCCAGGGCAGGACGAGGAGTGGCTTCGGACACCACCCCGAGAGCCCCGGGTCTCTGCCAGAGTCCCCTGCGCAGTAGCGGCGACCGGGCTGTAGGCGGCGGAGCGGAGTCGCCTTGGTCGGGTCACCTGTGCCCGGGGCTGCGCCGAGACCCGGCTCCAGAACGAGCAGGGGTCTAGAGACTCGGTCCAAACCCGCGAGCTTCGCCAGCCACCTGCCAAGACTTGGCCCAAGAAAGAAAAGTGCTCTCTCTTAGCCGAGCCAAGCACCTATTAAACTCGGATTCTCACCTGTGTCCCTATCCTCCCTGGCTCTGGGACGTAGCTGCCAAACCTGGGCAAAGCCACCTTGCGTCCATGGGCAGGCACTTTGGAAGTGTCAGAGAGTCTTTGTTGAACAGCCCTGTTTACTGGGAACCTAGTCGGGGTCAGCCCCACTGTCCCACTTGCTGCGGGAGTCCGGGGTGGAGGGAGGGGCAAGAGGCCGTAAGCAGGCTGTCAGGTAGAGGACAAAGGAGGGGTGTGTGGTGGGAGTCGACTAGGTGGCCCTTTCAGGGTTTGTGACTTTGAACTGGCTCCCGATGCTGGACTATGAAGGGGGAGATGGAAAGATTTCGAGTAGAGAAAGAATGGCCTGTGGGTGCTGTGGGGCTACCCGCAGGAGACAGACGACGCTCTCCAGCCTCCTGGCCAACTGCTCCAGGAGAACCCCCTTTCCTTGGAGGTGGAGCAGGCTGGCCTTCAAACTCTCTTGCTGTTTCCTTGACTACAGACTCAGTGTCAGGGTTGAATTTTCCCGTTTTATTGTAAGAGTAGAGGGAACTAGATGGGGGGTGGGGAGAGTTCGCAAGCCAGCTTTCTGTCACAATTTAAAATGAGGGAAGACTGATTTTGGCTCATGTGTTTAGTTGACAGTCACTTAGCATGTAGCTTTGGGTCTGTGAAGAGGCAAAACATCATAGTGGGGAGTACACCGCAGCCCTAAGCTGGGAGCAGGCCCCCTTCAAGTGTTCACCCACAATGACCTAACTTCAGGGAAGTTTCCACCACCTTTCACTAGTGCCACCCTCTGCAGGCCAAGTCTTCCACATAGGAGCTTTGGGGGAATGTTTAAGATCTGCACCTTTAACAAAGTAAAAATTAGAACAAAACAAAACAAAACAAAACTGAATTGTAACAGGTGGGAAGGACCAGTATAAAAAGGGACTTTGAAAAGAGTGTGAATTTATCTTGAAAGTGATCCTCTCATTACAGTGGCCAGTTTGGCCAGTGATGGTCCCATGTCAGTCATTTCCTCCCTCCTAGGAACTCACTGTCAGCACTGGGGCCGACTTGACTTTGACCTGTGTTAGCTGCTTCTCTGTGTCCTTGGCTATAGGAGGAACAGAATCAGGACTGGAGGGAACCTGCCTCCTTCCTCTTGGAACATGCACAGAGGAGGGCTTCATTTGGCCCCCAGCTGCCTGGGAGTGGGGCTGTCCTGGTTCTCTGTCCACACACCAGTGGGGCTCTGGGAAGTAAGTGGCAGCGTCAAGCAAAGGGGCTGGTCCTCTGAATGGCTGGCAAATCTTTTGAATCAAGAGATAACTTGCCAGCTTGCAAACAAAAGCAACAACAAAAACATAAGTATATCCCTTTTGTCTTTGTTTCTTCCTTTCCTCTCCATTTTCTTCCCTCCCTCCCTCCCTCCCTCTCTCCCTCCTTCTCTTTCTTCCTCTCTGTCTTTAAAAAACAACTTGTTTTTGAAACAAGGTCTAGTTGTAGCCAAGGCTGGCCTGGAATTATCCAGTTTGCTCTAGCCCAAACTGGTCCAGAATTTGCAGTTCTCCCTCAGCCTATTCAGTGCTGGGATTGCAGGAACATACCACCTACTGGTCTAAAGAACACTCTAATACTTGAAAAATCATTCATTCTCCCCCAAGAAAATCTTGAGTTTCTGCACATGTGGCTTATGAACCTTCTAAGTTGTTATTTTTTTATTTTCATCTTGTTTCATGTGTGTGGGTGCATAGTATGTGGGGGTGCCTCTGTATGTGTGTGTGTGTGTGTGTGTGTGTGTGTGTGTGTTTTCTGCCTTTCTGGGATCACAAACCCCTCTGGAATTGTATTAGAACTGCAGATTCCTAAAGGAAAATCATGCTTGTGCACGGCTGTGCTTTGGCAGTGTTTTGTCCCTCAAGAGTTCCTGTGCTGGAAGTGTGGCTCGCCTTGTGGCAACATTGGGAGGTGGTGGAACTTGTATGTGTGCACACACACACGTGTGTGTGTGTGTGTGTGTGTGTGTGTGTGTGTGTGTGTGTAGGCTAATGGTTGAATCATTCTGGATCTCTCTTCCACCTTATTCTTTGAGTCAGGGCCTCTTAATTCATCCCAGAACTCACTGGTATGGCTAGTCTGCAAGGCCAGTTTGCTTTTAGGACCCCCGTGTCTGCCTTCTGTGGCTGGAATTGCAGGTGGGCTGCTTACCCCTGCCCCCACCATTTATGTAGATTCTGGGGGTCTGGGCTCCAGTCCTCATGCTTGCATGGCAAGTATTTGAACCGCTGAACCATCTCCCCAAGCCCCCTTCCTGTCATTCCTGTCAAGCAGATAATCAGGTTCAGGTTGATTTTTAACTAACTTTCTTTGGTAAATTGAACTGACATGATTCTTAAACGTTCATTCATTGATCTAGAAGGAGACCTAATCTCTTAAATCATTGATGCTCTGTCTTTGACATTTTTATGCATCTCATTTAACCCTCACAACAATCTCATGAGCTAGATTCTGCCCCCTGTTTATACCACAATGATTGGGATTGGAAGAGGAGGTACACAGATGCACAGCCAGGAGTGGCGGAGCTGAGTTTGAAAGCAAAGCTCCTTCCAGAATTCTCTGCATTGCTCTACTTCCTCAGATTCTGCACTTTATTAAAGACAATGCTTTACTCATTAGGTTTGTGGGAGAATTAAGTACAAGAGTTTGTCTGTTTAGCAGGGTTTCCTAAGAACAAAGTGAGCTGTTAAAAACATCCCCCTTGGTGAGCTTGCCTTTCCCTCTTTGTCCCCTACCCTGTCCTCTCTTTATTGCTCCCATGTCAGTTCCCTTGCTCATGTAGCATAGACACAGGCACACATGCACATGAACACACATGCATACACACATGCACATGAACAAACATCTATATATACACATACACTACACACACCTCCACACATACATATACATATACACACAAAAATATACACACAAATACACATATACTTAAAGATACACATGTACTCAAACACACACATATACACTCTCACACACATATACATACATATACATATGCACACATGTACATTCACAAACATACACACAAATGCACATACATCCATATCTACACACCTCCACACATACATATACATATGTACACAAACACATGCACAAACACATGCACACATATGCACACATGCACACACATATATACACAAGCACACATATACATATACACACATGCACATGTACACATAGATATATGCACACAAACACACATGCACACAAATATGAACAGAAGCACACATGCACAGACACATACATACATTACACATGCACATACATATACACAAACATGCACACAAATACACATACATATACACATGCACACACATACCCATGCATTTTCACATATATGTGTATACGCAAACACACATGCATATATATTCAAACACATGTATATTCAGATACACATGCACACAAACATACATAAACAAGCACACACTCACACAAATATATATGCATACATGCTCAAAACATAACATACATGCACACAGCATACACTCACACACAGACACATATGCACACACTCTTCTTGTACACACAGGCACTTCCATAGTCATATTTCACCTATGCAGAGTAGGTTGTTCTCTGAGCTGAGGAATTCCAATGAAACCCTTAGAGCTTCCAGGAGACCCAGTGTCCTCCTTCCTCTGCAGATGCTGCCCCTTTCCCCTGCAGCTCAGAGGCTCCATCCCTATGTGCATGCTGAGCACCAAGGACCCAGCTGCCCCTGGCTCTGTGATCTACACTGCATAGCCGTCATGCCTGTCCCTGAACAAACATGAGAACTCCACCAGGGCACAGAGACCACCAAGCAGCAGGCAGCGGGTCTTTTGTCCAAGTCCTCAGTGGAGAGGGCGTGTTTAAGGGGTCCCTTCCCGACTATCATCAGTCCCCCTCCTTCCTGCCTACTGCAGAGTCACAGGGTCCAGTGTCTTCCCTGAGTGTTCAGCAGCTAAGCTGGCTATGAGAAAATAGGTCCTGATGTTTCCAGGTGTCTCAATGAGGAGGCAAGCCACGGGCCATTGCATGGGAGGAATGACGGCTCAGTGGATCCTCCTCAAGGCCATGACCCGGCTTCAGCAGGTGCAAGGCTGTCCCTGGGGAAGCAGTGCACCTGACAGAGGTCAAAGGGCAGAGCTTACTGCTGTACCAGGGAGGGAGGGCTTTCTGGAGGACCCCAGGAACTGAGTTGTGATGGAGTGAGGAGATTCCACCCTGACAGATTTAGGGAAAGAGATGGATGCAAAGTGCAGAACTTCTCAGGTTTCAGTCCCTCGGAGGCCTCAGATGTTAGTTTATCCCCAGCTCCAGGGAGAACAAAGAAGGAGACTCCTCTGGAGTTTTTAAGGTTGGGGAGAATGAGCTCTGCCTTCAGGTGATGATTCATGACTGGATGATTTTCATGACCAGTGCTGCTCAAAACTGGTCTAGTCCCTGTTTCATGTCTCCTGCCCCAAAGCTCGGGCTGACCTTGGAACTGGACAATGGACGTGATTTTACCCAGACTCCTTCCTTCATGGAGCACATTGGCTCCAAAGTCCAGGAAGGAAGCTTGGATGCTAATAGGGCCACGGGTGGTCCATGCATCTCTGCATCCTGGTCAAGGCAGTGGGTTAGACACTGCAGGAATCTGCAACATGGATGGCTGCTGCAGGAGAGGCAGTCATCTAATACAGCTTGGGTACTTCCTAGGGACCCTGATGCAGTGGAGAGAAGTCA